ACACACCTCACACACCCCACACCCCTCACACACCTCACACCTCACACCCCTCACACACCTCACACTCCTCACACACCTCACACCCCTCACACCCCTCACACCCCTCACACACCTCACACCCCTCACACCCCTCACACCCCTCACACACCTCACACACCTCACACACCTCACACCCCTCACACCCCTCACACCCCTCACACCCCTCACACACCCCACACACCTCACACCCCTCACACCCCTCACACACCCGGCTGCCAGCCGGCTGCCTTGGTGTGTGTTCCCAAAGCCCACTTAGGCACCACCGTGTCCACTGATGCGTGTGGAGGCGGGTGACCTTTAAAATGCCTCTGATTAATAAAACACTATTTGTTTGCAGGGAGAAACTGCGCAAAGCACAGTTTTTAATCTCTCCCCATCCCTAGCCTGTCCATAGCACACCACGCAGAAGGATGCAGGGAAGTGCCTGGGGCATGATATGAGAAGAAGGCTGGAGAGTTTTCACCATGTGAGGCTGGCTGGGGTGACTGGGCAGATGTACAGTGCAGCTGGGAGTGCTCCTTCCTTACTGCCATTTTACATCATTCTCCCTTTGGCAATAGCACTGCTTCAGGTCGCTTGCAGAACACAAACAGAAAATTGATGTGATTTAGGATTTACCTGCGAATCAGCTGACAGGAGTAGGAAAACATGAAGAAATTTGCACACTACTGCTATAAATAGAAATCTACATAGGATATGGTTTGTGTGTTGAGAACAAGAGCCTGCAAGAAGCTGAACTCATCAAGTGAGACCATGGGTACTTCTCTACTGGCTCTAATGGGGTGTGAAAGAATTAGGCAGCTACTAGGGTTAGTTCTCTGTGTACTAATCCACTCATTTTTCCTTTGCCCTGTGCACAGAAGTCCTGTTTCTGTCTTGAAAAAAGCAAAAGTGGAGGTCTCAAGCTCCATAATGTTATCATTTCTTTATTCATATGGAAGCTGAATGATTATTCATTAATTGGAACCAGAATTTACATGGTCAGAGATCTTTGTGATGGCTTCATCTGATCTTAAGTGACATAAGACCTCCCCCAATCAATTTCTTCTTGCACTGTGGCACATTTGAAAAAAAAATAATAAAATCTTACTTTTGTCTGATTTTGTTCACCTTCTAGACATTAGTTCTTGCTTTTCATTTGCCAAACTGAACAAATCCCTGCTAGCAAATGCCTCCTCACCTATGTACTTCTAGACTGACTGTCCAAGCCCCCACTCTTCCACCCTCTCTTTACAAAATGTAGGGTTGTCTTTCCCTGCCTTTTACCACAGAACATGAAATAAGTTCTCACAAGTCTCTTTTTTATGTATATGCTGGTTTTCCAAAACCATTTTTATTCTATAGGCACTGTAATGCAACATAGCCGACCAGGAAATGTCACCTCAGTGTCAGCTATAACAGGAGCATGAGGTTCTTCCTTTTAATTCCTCACTTGTCCCTTCCCCCATCCTTGATCATCATTAGCCTCACTGGTTGTTAGGTCACTAAATTTTGGCTATGACCTGCAGGTTATCAATGCCTGGCTTTCCCTGCTAGCCAGGACAGAAGTTCCCAGCCTGCAGTCAGGCCCTTGGTATCTGGTTAACCACACTGCTACAACAGTTTAAGAGCCTGTGTGACAGCAGTGTCTCAGGTCATCCAAAGGTTTTCACCTCAGTCCCCCAAAAGCTGGAGGTACATGTTCTTTCAGTCAAAGTTTAAATAGGAAGAAGAAGAAGAAGAAAAAGTTATCAGAGAAGACTTGTTAGGGAAATACAGCATAAATCAGGCAAGGCTCTATTGGTGTGGGTCAAGGGATGGTAGGCATCCACAGGCAGTATGGGAGCAAGGTAGAAATAATCCAGCCTTAAGAAAAGTCAGGAATCTGACTTCCTGGAAGCTCATGATGCTGATGGGGGTATGAGCAAAGAACCCTGTCAGTATCTTATTTGCCCTGAGGATTTAGCAGTATTTTTAGAAGTAAGGTCATGAAAGAACTGGGACCAAATTCATCTGCTGTCATTCATCCCGGTCTTCCAAGCCATAGCTAAGACAGAATCCTTTGCCTATATAGTTTACAGTCCAAGTAGACAGACAAGCCAAAGACAGCAGGAAACCAGGCATGTAAAGTTGTTGACCTGAGTCCACTTCTCTTCCAGATTTGGTCACACGTCTCCTCTCCATTTCTGTCTCAACAAGCTACATTTGCTGATGCTGACCGCAACACATGCATACTGTCACAACCCCTGCCATCCAGGCGTGCTGCTTCACCACTGCTGTGTGCTTTTCACAGCCTTTTCTGAGAAGAACCTGATCTTGGGCAGAAGGTCATTGCCAACCCAGCTCACACTGACAGAGACCAGCAAAAATCTGTAGCATGGACATGGAATGAGGCTCCTTTGAAAAAGCTCCCTTGAAAAAGGTGAATGTGAGCCCCAGGAACCCACTGGGTCAGGAATAATTCTGGTTAAAGATGAATGGGTAAAGGACAGCAAAAGGATGAAGAGAGTTACAAATGTGCCAAACTAGATGCAGAAGGTGGAGGACACAAGTCACCACTTACACTCTGCTTCATGCCACAGTGATCACCACCAAAGTTACAGCAGCATTACCGATGATTTGGCTCAACAGAGTCAGGGCCTTTGGCTGCACTGGTTCCTTCCTGCAGGGAAGGATCTCACCCAGGGACAGTGAAAGATCATTCATTGGCCTCATCCTCCTGTGAAGCCCAACCCTCTGTTCGTGTCTTCCCACTTAAATACTGAAACATTTCCCTGCTGTACAGCGTGTGCTTACACCAGCTCCCTTGTATGTGGTGAGAGGTCACGAGAGTCTGACTAGCAAAGCTGGCAAAGGCAGCAAAGGTGAGATTGGGCAGTGTCTTCTCTCCTTGCTGCCACTTGCATCATGAGAACAAGGAACAAGTTGAAAGGGCTGGTGTAGCATATGGAATGAGCTTTTATTCCTAACGTCTTGAGCAAATTTGTGCATGGTGGCACACTCAATATAAAGGCAGCATTGTCAATTTTGAGCATCAAAGCATCATGCCTTCCAAAATCCTGAGAGTGGCTTAAAGATTCTGAGACTTCTTAAAAACAACAAATGTCAATTTCCTTTATTTTCCTTTGGGTTTTGGAGCCTTTTGGGGAGAATTTTCTTCCTCTTTGTTGTAAAAGTACGGTTTACCTTCTGCTCTGAATGAATGCAAAGGGCCTTATGGACTCCCTTGATTCCAGCTTCTGGGTCTTTAAGGGAAACACCAAAAGTCATTAAGATGTGCAATTAAATCACAACCGTGGCTAACACAGCAAATATAAATGCAAACCCTGCCCTAGAGAACAAAGACCCATTCATTCTGCTTAAATTGCTCTTGAGAGTTGCTTGCTGCTTCATTTTTTTTTCTTTTTCCCCCCAGTCCGTATTTCTTCAGAAGGAGGGGGAGCTTTCTTGGCTTATGCCACATCCTGGATCCTCAAAAAAGCCTGTGCTCAGCGGCCTGAGTCTGTCTTGCCTCCTGTCTGCCAACCCTCTAGAAAAGTGAGGTTACAGACAAGCATCAGCAATGAGTGAGCAGTAATAAAGAACCTTGATAACTGAGGTAAAGTGGCCATTATGCAACTAGGAATGATAGGTAGAAAAATAGAAGCCGGAAATGTTGAAAGGCAGCTGAGGTTACATTCCTCATTGGAAGTAAAAGGTGGTGGAAGATCATTTGGCAGCAAGCACTCCTCCTCTGTACATAGAGAGGGATTTGCCAGCAAAGGATATTAATGATCTGAGAGTGAATTGCAAGTCCACAAGGGAAATCTGAACTGAAAATGGAAAAGACTGAAAGCTAGGCAGGGGGATTTGTATCAGGTTAAAATGTCAACATTTGGAGATGGATGAATCACTGGAGCTCAGACTAGGAGGAACAAAATAACCCACCCTCTCAACAAAGAAACCAAAGAAAACAGCAAAACATAACTCCAGTGTGTCCCTTTGTCCCAAAGTTAAAGCTCTGCCAGCCTGACCTTTTTTGGGTTGGTCATATTTGTGCAAGAGGATTGGCTCTGAGGTGAAAAGTGGTGGTCTACAGGAGGGGGCAGGTTGCCTCTGCCTACTTTCAAAAACTGGGTTTGTCCTTTTTCCCCCAGCCCTTTCTTTCTTAAACTGTCAAAAGGCACCTCTGTGGTATTCAGTGAGCTCTACCTGACCAAATCTCTGTTACCAGATGAAGGGTGTTCAGAAGCTAATCCATCTAAAGGGGTTTTTGGCCAGGAAAGAGGAAAGGCCCACAGTGCAAGGTTTGGGGATTCGATTTTTTGGAGACCACAGTTTGTATTGGACTGCTCTGCTCTATAATCCTATCTCTGTTCCTGTCAAGAATACATTACAAGATGGGAAAAACATCTCCTATATTTTTGCTCAGTGGAAGACCTCTTTTTAAACATGAGGACCACAAATTTGAAACTTTAAGTAAGTTCTGTGCTAGTGCTACAATTTACAGAGTGAGTTGGGGCTTTGATTGCATTTTTTCGTTCCTTTTTAGGAGTCAGTTGAGCTTCAGGCATTTCCAGGGCTATTTATGCCTGTTAATCCCTAGAAACTGGCTGAGAGCCTTGGATTTGTCTTCCTCTGTCTGAAATGAGGCATGGTCCACTCGGGGTTGTAGCTTGCTAATGCAAAAAGTGGCAGGGCATGAGCCAGGTGAGGGGCCAGGGGGAGAACAGGGAGGTCTGTGCCCCTTTCCACTCTGCCCTAGTGAGGGCCAGGTGACAGAAGAACCTCACCTGAAGAGACAATTAAGTGTCAGTCCAAAGAACAACATTAAATTGGCACAACATTCCTTTCTCTTTCAAACCACAGGATTTTTTTTTTAATCAAATATGAATTTCAGCAGCAAGATGTGATTTTTGGCTGCTCTTTAGGCTTAATTTATTAACAGTTTAATCAAAACTTTTGGGCACCTAGCCAGACTTGTTACTTTGTATGGCCAAACTAGATATTAGGCCTTGTTCCACTGGAGAAAGATTCCTTGTAAGTTCCCCAGGATGTCTTGGGTTTGGATATCTGAGAAGCACAGCAAAACCCATTCACCCACCATGGTTTCACTCTCTCTTCTTCCACTTCTAAATGTAAAATACTCTGGTGTGTGAAAAACATTTACATGTGTTTCCCACACTTTCCCAAAGCCCAGCCTGTGTTCCAGGGGAATGTGTGAGCTAACTTTTCCCCAAAGCCATCTAGCCTCTGCTAAATAATATAAAAGGAGTTGGGCTACTTCAGGGTCTCACAATGTGGTGTTATGATTGTTGATTTTCATATTAACTGGAAACTGCTCAAAACTTCCTGCATATTGCCTTCTTGGTGACACTTTCCCTTAAATCCTGGTGGTCTCCCAGATATATCGCCTCATGAGTTTTTTCTGACGGTTTTTCTCAAGTTGTGAATTACCTTATGGAGCTGGTAAAAAATGTTCTGCAGCATCAGGATTTGCAAGTGTTTAAAATAAAACTAAAAAGTTGATGAGAGATGTAATAGCACTCAGAAATCCTCCTATTAATTTTTGTTGTGTTTAAGCAGAAAGACTGATTAGATAAAGCACCTCAACCTAGCTAGGATGGAACATGATCATTCTCTGGTTTTTACAAGAAAGGCTTAAGACATTAAGAAGTCAAATCTGTGATGAAGGCTCCCAACTATCATCACTTAGCTACATGAGCTGTCGATTAAATCTCCATGGACTGAAGAGATTCCCCTGACTGCCTCTATTTTATGGCATAAACTTAGCAGCCACAAGTTTTCTAGGAGACCCAACAAGACTGGCTCATTCTCGAGTATTTCTTCCCTCAGGACATGAGAAAGAACAGGATATTTGTGAAGGGTGGGAATCAAGAACAGGAAAATATATTTATTAGCTGGCAACCACAGCAGAAGGCCAGAGGGGTGATCAGGGAGAAGATCTTGGCATACACTCTGAGGAAATTTACCTCTCCAATACTGCTGTGGATAATTCTGACATGGCTCTTTTATATATATATACATATATATATATATTTTATATATATATATATATATAAAATGTTGTTTTTGTTGTTGTTGTTGTTGTTGTTGAATCTGACTTGTAAAGAAGAATTGGACTTTCACTGGTCTAGAAATTGTCATCCACTAATTAAAATGCACCCTGGGTCACCAGAGAGTAAATCCCAGGTTCACACAGCCTTTCAGGCATCTTGTTTGAAATGAAATACTTGTGTAGGCCTGAAGACCTGGCTTCCAGGCAGTGCAAGCTGGACATAAGAGCTACTGCTTCTCCCTCCAGGGACCAAACATCTCCTGCCGAAAAGCAAAGCCACATGGATAAATGTCACAGTAAATGAGAAGCCACAGGGCACAGCCAGGTGGGTAAATACTGCAACACCACACTCCAGAACTTGGAGTGAAAGTGATAAGGGCAGGAGCTCTTGCAGAGCACCTGACATGGAACCACCAACAACTGGGGCTGGCTCCTGACTTTTGGTGATACTGGCTGAGTCACTGCTGGCAAGTGATGTCCAGGGAAGTCACTGAGACTGCCTTGTGTGAGTAATCACTTGTCGGCTCAGACCTCCCAGCCTCTCTCTCCTGTGCTCTTGGCAATGGTGCTTGGAGTGAAAACAAATAAATAATCCAAAAAAACCTCCCTCAACCCCCCAGCAAGTGTTTTCCAACATGTTCGCAGCCTTTAACAAAACATTTGGAACCTATTTTCCAAAAAGTTCCAAAGGTTTTCCAAAGCCCAGATTTGTCTAGACTCTCCCATCCTCAGAGCAGGGAAACAGGGTGAATAGATAGGGTGTGATATGGATTTTTTCGAAAGTTTGTTTGGATTTCAGGAAGTGAACAAGATAAGCCAAATGGCCCTTTCCTGCTTTTGCTCTTTTAATACTTATTTTCCCTCAATAAGTCCTGACAAGAAATGTTTGAACTAAAGGAAGTCAGATGAGTTTGTTGAATTCCCCGTGCCTCACCTCCCTGCTAAAAAACCACCCACACCTGTGGCTGGGAAGAGCACCAAATCAGTCTTTACAATACGAGCTCTTGGGCATGTCTGAGAGCTGCTCCCTTTGTCATTTCTGCAAACACAGAAAACTGCTTTCCACATCATTTAAAACATGTAGGAGGCAGCGGGAAATAATCCCCTGGGGACTTTGGGATGCAGCCGAGGGACTGAGGGTCTGATCCATGGGAGGAGAAAAGAAATAACTCCCACTGCATTCAGAACTGCAGGTGCTGATGTGTGAAGGAGCCCTCTGATGTCACACCAGTTTTGCTGCCAGAAAAGCCTGAGCAAAGATAAATTGGAGAAACTGGTCTGCAGCCCAGCCACCCCATGCCTGATGGAGGGATCTGCATAACGACCAGAAATCACTTCTCCTCCATACAGGTTTGTTCCTTAGTGCATTCATTGTCTTGGCATAAGGTCTGGTGAAGGAAGATTCATGGTCCCTCAGTTTTTACACAGTTTGGTATATTCATGATTGCAAAGGTACCTGACCTGAACACAGCCTTTCATGTCTTAAGTCAGACATGTCTCTGAACTTTTGATGTAAGAAAACTGGATTTCATACTGATGCACTTATATCCACAGAATGGTTTCTGTGAGCATCGCCTTATAGAATGGCACATTTGTAAGAAATAGAAAATTGTGAGTCACAATAAAAATTTCCTGACCACCCAACTCCAGCACTAACATGCCACTCTCCTTTCTTCCCAGGTCTCTGGCCTTGCTCCTGTACATTATTAAAAAAGAAACAAAAAACCTACTCTTCTTTGTAGAGAGAAAAGTTTTAATATTTAATAAGAAAAATCTTTGGAACACTGAATATTATTGTTGAGACTGGGAAAATAAATTATATTCCTCTGCTGGAACGTACTGATCTTCCTACCCTGTTGTTTATTTGTATGATCTGAATGAATTTTTTCGTTTGAAATCTACACTACCTAAAAGCATTTAGTAGAACTATTTTTTAAAGTAGCTTGCTAAACTGACTCTGGAAGTTGCTTAGTGGTTGCTTGGTATTTGAGAATCTTTTACTGTAGTAGAGGCTTCCCCACCAGCAGATGTTACCACAGCATAACAAGAGGATGGAGAATGACCACAACAGGCAGGAGAACAGTGCAGCTAAAGGAAAGTAAAGGGTTAATGCACCAGCTGGAAAATCTTTGAAAAGACACACTATAAATGGCCAGAACATTTTGAAATATGCATCAGCCAGCTACTTGTTGCGCAGCATCTGTCACAACAAGATGTTGTTCTGATGCAGAGTTTCTCTTTGTGATATCAGAAAATCTCTGCTATTCCTGTAAGAGTTTCTGAAGTGCTAAATTTTAACAGGTTACTAAGTCATTTGCAGATAGGTGGTGGTACTTCCTTTGAAGATACGTCCTTGTTGTGAAAAATGTAAGTACTGAAAACAATCTTAATAAAACACACATAGCATTATAAACATCTGCCCTTCCAGGAGGCTTCATCTCAGTTTTGGACATCTCTGGAGTGGAGAAGGGATAGTTTATTTTCCAATTTTCTTAAGTCCTTCCCCTTTCTAATGCTGCTGTCAGCAGTGAATTTTGACAGTTAGGTGTTACCTAGTCTCCAAAAAAGACTCAGCTTTGTGGATGTCTGAGCACATAACTACAGTTGTTGGTAAGGTGCTCAGAACCAAACCTTTTCTTCTAACCTGTCCCCAGTTCACCAGGTTTACTGGCTCTGAATCTCTTAATCTGAAATAATTCCAGGTCTTCCAGGTAGAATGTGTGCTAGTCCTGTTTTTCTCACAGCGACAGGTCCACTCCTCTGCAGACTCCAACTGCATAGTTACAGACCCCTCTCAACACAGTGACTTTAAAAAAGGGTATGAGTGTGTTTCACCATTTGTTCTGCTGCAGATGATATTTTTGCATTTTCCCTCATTTTGTTGCTTTCAGCCGTTCATTCATTCTCCCTGGCAGGCAGAGAGATGAGACACTAACATACAAAAGCTGTAAATGTCCCCACTGCTCCAACTGTACCTAAAACATCTGAGGGACCAAGGGTGCTCTTTTCAGTGTGGGTGGCTACACAAACCCCAAATCCGTCTGGCAGGAGTTACGCTGCAAGTCTCAATCTGTCTTGTCCAATTTCACCATTTATGGCAGCAATACATTATGTTTGGAGAGGGAGTATCAGCAGCATGCTGTGCATTAATCCAAAGGCTGCATTCCTTAATAGATTAAATAGCCTTCATCTCTGATAAGTGATTGCATTTCTGGTGCATGAATGGTTCTGCAAAGCACATACTGCTGTTAATAGCTGGGAAAGAGAACAGCCTCTTTCCAGACTCACTTCCTCAGGATGTCATTTGGACTTAGAAATATCTGTGGGCTGCAAAGCTTCCACCCACGTTTCTAACTTCAGTCTTTCCTGGATGCTTGGGTTCCCTTAGGACCAACATATCATGACATACCAAAAAGCATTATATATAGCTTTGCCCTCTAGATCAGCAGTGCCCTCTGGAAGAACCCTTGGCTTTACTGGCAGGAGAAAATACATGTTTGCCAAAGTTGCGAGACCAGCAGAAATGAGGAGATTTTCTCTTTGACAGCAGCTGTAGCTGTCTGGCCTAAAATACCTCAGATAAAAATGACAGTTTACCACAAAATATTCCCATCCTGCTGAAGGAGCTTGCCCAAAGCATGCCCTTTCTCTCTTTACCTTCCAATTTTTGCAACATGTGAAGGCTTATTTTCCAAGTCTATCACTTAAGAAGCTCTTAAGAAATGTTCTTTTCATGGTCATTTCTGCAAACTCTGTGGCAAAAAGTTAAAATGTAATGGGACAAAACTACAAAAAACTATTTACCAAGGGAACAGGGCAAATGTTGTTTCTACAACGCAGAGGCAATAGAGAGCAGTCTATAACCAAAGGTTGAAGCCAAAGCTGCTTTTAGATCTGAGATAATCACCAAAATATTTAGCAGAACAGAATGCTGTATTTTATGGCATGCTCTCTGCCTGAAAGCTGTTACTTAATGCACTGGGGTGACAGTAAAAGAAAAGGCATGTTTCTAAGGATCTGGACAGCACAATTATACTCTGAAAAGTATGACAGGGCTTTGTACACTGAAAGCTGAAATGAATATGGAATTAAGTGTGTTGCTGAACAAATAGGAAGGTAATTTGCTCTAGCTTCACCTTTAGATCTAAAAAAATCAAAGCAAGCTCTTGCTGGTTTCAGAGACACTATTAATAGGACAGATTCTGAAAATCAAATTCTGCACTCTCTTTTCTATTACATCCTCCAACTCCAAAGATAACTGAAGGAGAAATTCGGTCTTTTTGAAGTCTTGGCAGTATTATCAGGAATAGAAAGCAGTTATGAATTATTGATGAGACATTAGATTAACTCTCCATGACCACAAAGTTTAACACCCAGTTACTGCTCATCCACAATCTGATTTCTAGGACTCTGAACTACCTCAGAAACATTGTATTTTAGGGTATATCAGGTATATATATTATATATATTGTATATATTGATATTGATATTTATATATTAGGTATATATATTGTATATTAAGGTGCTGTTTCACCTTTATATTTGACACAGGCACCCTCTTCAAGAATCATGCACTGGTATGAAGTCAGGAGTGAGACCTAATTCCTTTGCTTGCTCCCACATCTTGCTACACAGGAATGTGCTTCCACCTGGAGAGGGCAAATGTAGTCCCTGATACAACTGTGACTTCTGACTTGATGGATTGGAGTCCTGGAGTTTGTTCTCTATGTTTCCTTGATCCCTTTTTTCACCGACTGCAGTCTCTGTGACCATGCTCCTTGGAGTTTGGCTTAAGATTTGGTTCTTGGAAGATGGATTAGTAGATGAGGGCTAAAAAATGACTGCACTTGCAGGTGCAGTCCTCTTGCTCTAATTTAGCTAGGATACCTTCAGGTATCCTAGCTATATTAGAATAAAATTAAGGATTATGAGGTTGGAACTCAAACTGCTGATTAGCTCAGGAATACCATGAACATTTTCTGTTTGCTGAGACCTAATTTGCTTACCAGGAACAGCAAACAAAAGCATTTTAGGAGCAACATTCCAAGTAAAACCCAAGCCTTTGGATTTCACTTTGTCCAAGTTCACTCATGTTAGCTTTTCTCATGTGGGAATTTGTTTGTTATTTTGCAATAATCTGTGAAATTATGTACAAACACCCATTGAACTACAGGGTTTTCCTCATAATTAAGAAGGATTATAGCTGTATTTATATCTGCCCATCACCAGGAGGTGCTGGATGTTCCCAAAAAATGAATATATCTGGATATATCTACTTGGGACACCTTTATAAGCACCTGTGCATAGGCATGCACAGCAGACTCAGACTGGGGTGACACTATCTCTGGGATCACACACACAAAAGAGGAAAATTTGAAGAGGATCAGAAATGTGAATGGCTCCATTTTTCTACTTCATCCTCCTTCTCTTATAAGAGGACTGTGCAGAAATTGTGTTTCCTTTTATGGTCTTGGCACACCCAAAGAATCCTCAAAAAGATTTCCTTGCCATAGTGTTCAGGACAGTAACATTTACATTTCATGCAGTCTAGAAAAGCATGTTTCTCAGTTTGAGATTTGCAGGTGTGACCACAGCTACCTAAGCCAGGATTTTCTTACAGCTGTAAGGGTGGCTGTACCTGCCTGCTTGTTGGGCAGTCAGTGTCTGGTAAGTCAGGGCATGTGTTACAGGGCTTCTATGGGCATCCTTGACAAAAGAAGTTGTGATGAATGTCCCAGCCATGGTCTGGAGGTACAGATACCATCACTGAGGTGTACTCTGGGGTGTGTCAAATCTTAGCTTTATTCTTGCTTCTGTTTGAGGTGTATTTGAGTCATGAACAGGCTGTACACGGTGTCCCAGGCCCAGACTTTCCCACCAGTTAAGTTGTTTTGCTTTGTTGGTAATAACTCTTCACCAGACTGGGGAAGGTGAAGTCTAGAGGTCAGAGCATTTTTGTGGGAATACGGAGATCTGCATCATTCATCCCAAGGGGAGGCTTTGTGTGTGGCCTGTGACACTATCACTCACTTTCCTTCTGGCACGCTGGCTATTTATGCAGGTTCAAATTACTGCCGACAGAGGAAAGATCTGAACCAGGGTCTCCCAGGTCTCCTCAGTGAGTGCTTTAACCTTTCAGCCCCTGGGGTAAGTTGGTGAAGGGGCATCACCTTCCCTGGCTGTGTTTTCTGCAGGCACCAATCCAGTTGGATTGGCCAAGATCCACTTCACAAGTGAAATGGGCAAGGCTCTTTGTGCTTGGTGTGCATTTGGGGAAAGGCTGTTGTTCCGGCTACGATGCCCACCTTTACTTGGAAAGGGAATTTTCCAGCCATCTCTGCTGCAAGTGAAAGGAGGCTCCGGGCAATCCCATACCATAATCAACCTAAATCCCTGGATTAGCTTCGTCTGACCCTGGTTTCATTAGAGCCATTACATCAGGATGATAGCTCCATAACATACAGGCCGGACAAAGAGTTCATAAGGCAGCATAGCAGGGAGCAGAACTAGAAACAGTAAAGTATGTTTTTACCTCCTGACAGAAAAAGAGAGGTGCATTGGCTGAGGTCTGTCAGAAACAAATGCTGGTATTGAGGCTCCTGCTCTCCTGCAGAGTTCGGTGCTGGCTAAGGCACCTCTACTGGAGTCTGGCAAGGAGTGGTGCAAGGGAAAAGACTGAAAGGGAGTGATTATTTAGCACCAGTGGGTTAGTGAGTCTCTGCTTGCACCAAAGGGTTAACATGTGATATGCCAGCAAATCATGGCATAATGCTGACACTTTGGATTCAGTGAATTTTGGTTGCAGGAGTTATGCAAACACAGTTACAAT